AATGCATGACAGAAGCGAGGGTGTCCAGAGGGCGGGTTCCTCTTTGACTTCCAGAGATAAGTCCTAGCTACTTCTTCTCTTCTTGAAAACTAGCCGTAGGCTGCGGATTTTTTAAAGGAATAAAGCATTTCTTTTTGGTGAGAAAAAAAATTCTCGAAAATTGTCAAATTATTTTCCGACTCTCAAGTCTACTTTTGACAACCCAAGCTGCTTCTGCTGGGCTTGCCGTGCGCCACTTGACAGCTAGCATTTGGGCATTCGAATCGGAGGGTACAGTGACTCCGTTTATTGTGCTGTAGCTGCGCCTCTGACACCTCCTCATCTCTGTGGCTTGGCGCCGCCGTCCACGCCCAGAGTCTCCCCTCCCATCCCCTCCTGCCTCCTTGCGGCTTCAGAGCAGACTCGAGGGCTTAGCACCACCCCAATGATGGAGCCATTAAATTTGATTCCCGGTGACCACGGCACACTCCCCAGATTGTTTATGCTTTTAGAATGAACTTTCTGACGTACCAGTTGAAAGGGCATTTTATGCTGTTATGGACTCAAGGCCACCAATTTGCCCCTGTCTGGTAATTTTGTATTTTCACAAGCAAATGTAGTCGCAAATTTTCCTCTTCACCAATAGCACTTTTGACAAGCCGAAGTTTTGGGTCTTGACACGATTCTCCAGAGCTGGCAATCGGTAATTACACATTTTCTTGGAATGAGACACTCCAAGAAGAATTGAGTGTAAAAGTGGGTGGTCGCTTTGACGCCCTTTGTGATTGCTCTTCTGGAGAATCTGCAACAAAGGGGTTGGTTGTGGGTCGAAATTGCCTCGGGAAAGAAAAGTAGACCATGTGATGACTTTTCCTCACGACAAGGAAACATTCCAAAATAATGGATGCTGTTTCCAAAAGTGCAGACCGAAAATGAGTGGTACAGGGAGAGGGAAAAATGCTAAGAGAGGGTTAGACTGGCAGTTATTTACTCTAATGGAAACTCGCAACTATCCAGTCACTAAGACGTAATATGGTGGACCACCACGTTTTGCAAGACATACAGTGCCGCACTGACAGGATATCCGACGTCTTCCACCTTGTGTGAAGGATATACCCCCACTCACCGAAGCCTTGAAGAGGACTCGCATCCAAGCGGGTCGGTTGGTTAATCTTAAAGAAAGGCGTCTGCAGTGGCTGAATGGGTAAATGAAGCCCCAGGCACCAGCAACAGAAGGGCTACTGGAGCCAGATTTAATCATGAAAAATACAGTGAGACCCAAGAAGTAAGCCCGATATAAACTTATTTGAAAAGAAATGAAATATCCAAGGGAAAGAAGTCCAGAAAAATCTCTAGAGGGGCACTCTATATTCCGTATTTACGCGGCATGCAGACTCCGCTAACTGTTTGACATTTTCTGGCTCCACGAGTCCTAGAAATTGATAAAACACGTAGTACAACCATTCTCTCTTGAAATTGGCGGTGCGCCTAAGGAGTTACCTCGTTGTGCTTGAATCTGACCGCCCTGTCTATCTGGTAGTCAGTTTGAATTCATCCGGTTACTGTTCCGATGAAAAACCCCGAAAAGCGCATCAAAATGGCTCTTGATTGAGCACAGCGTTCAGTAGGTCATTTCAGTTACTCCTAACCCACTAGCCAACTCCTCGCCTATTTCCATGAGATTCTACGCTGCACTGTGTGTAGGAGTATCTGCAACAGCGGAGCCGTGATGGTGATTGTGGATGCGAGGAAAGCAGAGTGAAAATTCTGCGCCGTGGAGAAATCCCTACGCGCCCCCCTCCCCTCCTCGTCGCCCAACCTTTTTCAATCAGCTCGCTTCCTTAGTGGCCATCATCACGCATCGTCTCGTTTCCTGTTCTCCGACTTTATTTATGCGAGCCACTTCCGCCTCTCAATCTTGCTTCAGCTAACTAAATTCAACTTCATGCACCGATGAAGTTTTTTCCCATCTCATTCCATTTTCTTAAGAAAACTTCCACAGCGTTAAGTGGTGAGTTGTTTGGAAGAAGAAAATACCCTTACTTCTCAGGTAGTATAATCCTTTCTCCCCACAACAGAATTGTTTTCACTTTTCTTTCCCCAGAAATGGTATCAGGGGGAAAAAGCCCCCAAAAGAGAATGAGTGACCAGTCTCCAAGGCAACAATAGGTGATGCGATGAATTTCGTTCAGGTCAGACATTGCGGTCTCCCCACAGTCTGTCAAGGTCATGCATTTTGTGTTGTATCAAGATTGCCTACTATAGGATTACTGACATCCGAATCACTAATCACCACTGCTTTCGATCTGCAGTTGCCGTTGACAGCAGTCGATTGATGCAGTTGGAATGACACTTGGCAGTTACTCCTTTTTACCTCAAATCTCCACAACAATCCAACACCGCGGCATTGCAGGCATCTCGATGGCGGATTGGGGCGGGAGGAGGGGAAGAGACGCTGAGGGAGCGGAGTTCCATGCTATCACGGTGGACGCCGACTCGTAGGCGATCAAAGGGGTTCCTTATACCCTGAGCAATGTCCGTGGTGATCATCGTAACTATCCAGGTGGAAGACTCGAATTTCATACCACTCCACTCAGGTGAATTTCCGCAGCATTCAACTGTCGTGCCCACTGTTAGCAAACCACATTGGTGAGATTTGTGGAGTGAATGGTTGTGTCAGACTGATTGCTGTCCCACCGATTGAATGGAAGGACTTTTGAAGCAAGCTTCCCCACTTTTGTTACGAGGTCTGAAGAGAAGTCTGCAGGAGGCCATTCTAAGTGTTCCATTATTCGGTAAAGCTGCCACTGCCGGCTCCATCAGCCGCCAAACATTCCTTTTCAACGATACAATCTAGCTGCGAAGGTCGGTTTCATCACTAGAAACTGAGAAATAGCCAACCTTCCCCACCCCTCCCCTACCTATCTGTCACACGCTTGGCCTCAAATCACTTTGCACATGTTTGTTGCAACTTCATACGCCGCGGAAGAATGCCAGGAACAGGATTACAATGAGGCAATATCCTATCACAACTCAAACCAGTGGAAGTATCAAGTACGAGACACCATGTCGTCCTGTCTTGCTACTGGATGACTAATCCTGACAGTTTCCCAAGGCGAAGTTCAGTCTGCACACCTTCGGATCATTTCGTGTTGCCTCAAGCAGGTGGATTCCCGCCCCCTATGTTCTTTGGACTGCAGAA